GTATATGTATCCTTTTTTTTCCATTTTCTCTAGAACTTCATCGTTGCTCACATGTTTGGTCCATTGCATTCTCAGCATTCTTCTGTAGAATCACATTTCTGTTGTTTCGAGTCTCTTCTTCATCTGTGAGGAGATTGTCCAAAATTCACTGCCATATAGGAGGACTGATATTACGTGGCAGTTCAGTACTTGTTTCTTTGTTTCTAACGAAAATATTCTGTTTCTTAATACTTTGCTAAGCATGTGGAAGGCCTTTTCGCTATCCCAGTTCACCTTCGGATTTCAGTGTCACACTTTATTAGCTGTCACGCTGGTGAAAAGCCTCGCTGAGATTACTGGGTGATTAGAGTTTCTTAGGCCAATTTTGGAGTATTAGTTGTGCGACATGTGGATGAGCATTGCCGTACGAAAGATTTGAAACTTTTCTATTGAACAATACGCTGGACACATACGCTGCAAGTTTTAATGAAGTTTATCGATTTTGCGACAGTATTTTCCTGACAGGTTTCAGAAAGCTGCGGACCATCAAGCAGACACCATACTTTGGTGTATCTTCGGCTTTGTGAAGTGATTAGGAGCTTCATCTCGGCCCAAACACTGCTGAACGCCGTCGGTTGTTGTCTGTTATCCACATTTCATCGTCAGTCACAATTCAATCAATAAATGGGGTCGCGGTTTTGTTGCTGAAAAGAAGCGATTCGGAAAGAACAGACTTGATAACTATTTTTTTCTGGTTTCCGTTCAATTCGAGTGTCAGCAATTTTAAAAAATTTTTCGGCTTTCCAATGCTGTTCAAATCTTCAGAAATTCCTCCAATGCTTACATCTTTTCTTACAGTGTTGTTCACTTTATCCAACCCAAGAGCCACTCAAGGTAGAGGGTTACAGAGTAAGATACACTGTTTATGCTGATATGTGGGGAAGTTAACGGTTAATCCTTAATTTGAACAGGTTAAGATTGTAGTGATCGGGTAAGTAAACTCTTCAGCTCACCAAAACGCACTTGAACAACTGGTTTATTTACACTTAAATCTTTGTCGTCCATAGCAGAAGGACATCTGGTCTGTAATCATCTTATCTTCAAGAGGGAATTCCCCATGTCGGAAGCCAACCATGCATAGTGCATCCAATAGCACTGACGTGGTCACATAACTTCATTGATGTTTTTCGCGGTTTGTGCTGCATTACGGCCGAATTTAAATTCATGAAAATGAATTTAGCGAAACTCCTATTTTGACATCTTAAATTTAAAGATATTAAAATTAGACATAAACGCAATAAATATTGAACATGCGGTAAATAGAATAAACGGATTTAAAGTTATTTAAAATAAAATAAATTGAGGATTATACAAAATTTTATGTGAGGTTTTATTCTTAAAATGTAAATAAAAACAAAATTTGCATTAATTGCTAAAATCCTAATCTTCTTCCTCTTCATTTTCTTTCTTTCTTTCTTTCTTTCTTTCTTCCTTTTATTATCATTTCTTTCCTTAGCCCTATTTGACTTTGTTACATTTTGTCAATAGTTTTCAGTTTCTTCTTCTTTTTCTTCTTTTTCTTCTTCTTCTTCTTTTATTAATTAATTAATTCTTTCTTTCTTTCTTTCTTTCTTTCTTTCTTTCTTTCTTTCTTTAGCCCTATTTGACTTTGTTACATTTTGTCAATAGTTTTCAGTTTCTTCTTCTTCTTTTTCTTCCTTTATTAATTCATTAATTCTTTCTTTCTTCCTTCCATTCTTTTTTTCTTTCTTTCTTTCTTTCCTCAGCCTTATTTAAATTTGCTACATTTTGTCACATAGTTTTCACTTTCTTCTTCGTCTTCGTCTTCCTCTTATTATTATAATTATAATTATAATTATTATTAATCATAAAACTTGAGAGAAGAGCGCGATTTAAGAAAAGAAAACCCACTGTGTCTGACAATGTTGAACAATATTTCCACAGTATATCTGTCTTCTTCAACTAATATCTTAAATTTTTTTCCAAGTATAAAAATATATAAATCTACAAAAAATCATAAGTCTTTGTACAAACGTTTTCTGTCTTGTAATGAAAAAAAAAAAAGTAAAAAACGGCTGTACAGGCAATGAATGCGTCAAAACGAATGAAACGCTGACAGTGTGAAGGCATGCAACTCAAAACGTGCTGGTAATCTTGTTCATCTTGGAATTTTCCGTTAGTTGATTCGTTACTAAGATGAGTTAATCAAATAATTTTCTATATAAGTCTCCTGTTATTCTGTTCATTCCCCCCACCGGGTGGGGAGGTTAGTAATTTGCATACGTAACTATCCTCATGCGTTTTAACTATCGAAAGTTCTGTAGATTCTAAATATTTTTCACAATGTGAATCTTAAATGCATGTCAAAATTACAGTGGTTTGTAATAAAATGTTCCGCAAACTCCGTTGATGTCACATTGTTGCATCTGATATCATACCTGTGTCGATTGAATCTTTTAATCAAGTTTTCAAGTCATGTTTAGTACATCGGGCGGCATATATTAAATGGGAATCAATACAATTGCCGCAATCTGTGGAAATCGTGATGTTTCCCTTTGAACTTATAATACAATTAATTTGACTCATGTTGTTGCACAATGAACAAGGTATTCCTCTTCCATGAGTGTTTTCGGGAGTACAACGATTCGAAACTCCAATGTTGGTGGAGGTGGTGTTTCTTCTTCTTCTTCTTCTTCTTCTTCTTCTTCTTCTTCTTCTTCTTCTTCTTCTTCTTCTTCTTCTTCTTCGTCGTCGTCGTCGACGTGGTGTAATGGTTAGAAAGCTTGTCTTGCTAGATCAGTTACGACTAAGTAGTGAATTCGATCCTCACTGGGTGCCCCATACTTTCGGCCTTGTGCCACATCTAAGCCGGGCTAAGAACATCATTATAAGATAGTTGGTGTGGACCAACCTCAACCCCTCCCCTTTTTCGGCCTTGTGCCACAATTATGTAATCTTATATAATAAATATCAATTGTCTATATAAGTCTCCAGTCATTCTTTTCATTTCCCCGGAGTGGGAAGTTAGTAATTTGCATACGTAACTATCCTCATGCGTTTTAAGGGTCACAAGATCGGTAGATTCTGAATATTTTTTCACAATGTGCACCTTAAGAGGCATGTCAAAATTACAGTGGTTTGTAATAAAATGTTTCGCAAACTCCGTTGATGTCACATTGTTGTATCTGATATCATAGCTGTGTCGATTGAATCTTTTATTTAATTTTTCCATTGTGCAACCCACATAAATCAAGTCATGTTTGGTACATCGGGCGTCGTATATTAAATGGGAATCAGTACAATTTCTACTGTCTGTAGAAATCGTGATGTTTCTCTTTTGTGATGGAATTGACTTGGCAAATTTAAAGAGAAACGTCACGGTTTCTGCAGAGGGTGACAAGTGTCTACTTCTTTTCTGACACTTCTCCGGTTTTCTAAAAATTTAAATGCAACGCCAATCACCACATTCTGTCCTCTTGAAACCTGTTTTTTTTATTGCCCTCTCTAAAGTCACTCATTCTCTTTCACGCCTAGTATCCCCTTACGTCTTAGTAGCATTATCACCTTGCTTGGGGTGAAATGATAAAAAAATGTTTCTTCGAATGTTTTTACTAGTTTCTTCGAGAATGCAGTAGAACTTTCAGTCAGTCAGTCAGTCAGTCACGTGCCATACGTGACACCCGTGATACATACGTGATACACGTGATACATACGTGATACACGTGATACATACGTGATACACGTGATACATACGTGATACACGTGATACACGTGATACATACGTGATACACGTGATGCATACGTGACACACGCTTTGGCGATGATGACTCTTTCGATTCATGACTGACTAGGCAGAAGATTTTCCCGAAATAGGCTGCAACTTCTTTCTGCTGTAGACTGATTGCCAACCAAGGCTGTAGGGCCAGGTCTACCCTGCTATTCAACCCATAGCTTGTGGGGGGGGAGAAGAGATGAATTCATGCCTTTCACAAGGGCATTTGCGCGTTAGCGAATGTAACGAACACGACTGGAATTCGAACTCGGCTTTTCGATTCCTCATTCTAAGTAGTTATCCATTACCACAAAAAGTTAACTAATATTTAACACCAGGAAGAGGCAGTTGAAGTTTCTAGTGCACACGATGAGAAAAGAGGGCTTAGAAAATCTGATACTCACGGGACAGATTGAGTGAAAGAGGGACAGAGGAAAAGTATCCTTAATGCGCTTGAGTAAGTGGATGGCGGAACAGGGCTTAGGAGAAATAAAAGTTTATTAGGAGCTACCAAGAGCAGGAAGTTGTGGAGAGTCATGAACATTAGAAGCAACTTGCATCTATTTCTTTTTTTTTTTTATAAATTTTACTTTAAATATTAGGGTGCGCATTATAGACGCGTATTTAAAATGCGTTACACATACTTAAGAATTAATACCGACGATGGAAAAAAAAATAGGGGACTCACAAATATACACCCCCGCACTGACAGACATACACAGTTTTAAAAAGAAATGCTACATTTTTGTATTGGGACGCTTTAAACAATGTGAAAGAAGGCTAAACGACGCACAGAATTATTCTGTGAGTAGCAGTTATACAGGACAAAATACACATAAAAAGGCGCAAAACACACTAGTGGGAGATATGCACTCTTGAACATACGTTCTACGGACAGGACGCGTGCATATATGACGACCATATTCATATCTAAGATTAATGCCAATATTACGCATGCGCACTCGTACCTATAGGCACACATGCGCATAACAGACAACATAAAACCAAACCACCCTTCCCTGATCGTCCGCCCTTAAAGATCATGAACCGCAATTTAGACTCGTGCCTGTAATTGCAGCTGTGAAATACTGGCACATAATAAGAAAAACCTAGAATTATCCAATTTCCAATCATTGCTTTCTCATTTCGAACGACAATTTAGATCCGGACGTACAACTAAGTTGTGTGTATCAAAATCACGGAATTTTATTCACCTGTATAGCTGTTGCTAGAAGAGGAGGAGAAGGAGAAGTGGAATGTTTGAAAGAGGATGTAGACGCTGATGATGATAAAACATAGAGAGGGGAGAAGAGTAGAGGTATTGAACAAATATGATGTTGAAAAGACTTGTCGGGTAATGAAATGGGGATGGGTGGGAGAAGAATAGAACGAGAAAATTCCCAAGAAAAAAAAAAGGATGGGATGTATTTAAAAGGGTGGTCGCAGTGGTTTTCTTTCCGAGTAAATTGGAGATCGCTTTGAGTGAGTGAGTGAGTGATTGAGTGAGCGAGCGAGCGAGGTGGACGACGTTGGATCGGTGTGGGGGAGTGTTTGCTTGCTTGCTCTGAAAATGACGGGGAGGAAATTTGAGTTTGTGAATTGTTGTAAAAACCGTGGTAAAGGGTCGGGAGGGAGAGAGAGACAGAGAGAGAAAGAGATAGATAGAGGGAGATAGACAGAGAGAGAGAGAGAGAGGGAGAAAGAGAGGGAGAGAAAAGGTGTGTGTACGTGTGAGGGGATTCAAAAGTGGACGAAGGACAGTAACAGAACAATCAAGCATGCTCCTATCCACACTCGCATGAACATTGATAGGTAATTTGATATATAAATCTATAAATGAAATTATGTATTGTTGAAATACGAGTGAGATGTAGAGTCCGTAAATAAAAGCATATATTCAGGAAAAGAATGTATAGGTTGATGCGGAAGGCAAACGAAACAGTAATTGGCTTCTACTCTCGGAATGAGTGAATACATGTTAGTATTAAATACACATATACATGTACCTCTCTCTCTCTCTCTCTCTCTCTATATATATATATATATATATATATATATATATATATAATGTGTATTCAAGCAAAAGTTCTGTATTAATACATGCTTGATTAAGGAATAAGATGAGAAACAATTTTTCGCTGAACTTGATAAGAGCTATAAATATGATCGGAGGCGTTAGATGCCAAATATTTGGACAATAGATATCGTCTTACACACACACACGCGCGCGAGCGGGAACGCACACGCACATATATATATATATATATATATATATATATATGACGTTATCTCAATCGCCTTACACACACACACGCGCACACGCACACACACACACACACACACACACACACACACACACATATATATATATATATATATATATGACGTTACTTGGTATCTAAAGTTTCCGATCATATTTTATCAAGTTCAACGAAAACTATAAATATTTCTCATCTCATTCTTTAATCAATATATATTTGGGCAATAGATAACATTGCCTTTACTTTTTATTTCTATAATAACATTCTGTAGCCCCAGAAAATTATGATATATATATATATATATATATATATATATATATATATATATATATATATATATATATATATATATATATATATAAAACCATGAAAAGTTAAATTAGTTTTATTTTTATTTCTATAATATATATATATATATATATATATATATATATATATATATATATATATATATAGGGCGATTGAAAAGTAACTCAACATTTTAAAATTCTTATAATTTATTTATTAACTATCATTTTCACAAGAAATAGATATGAAAGTGTTTAGCTTGGGGTTTTATTTAAAATTCGTTACTGACACCAGTTTTCGAGTCGCCCAGCAATGGCATCAACTGATTTCACTAGGAACTCTTCTGGTATAGAAAATGTAACTTCTTGTATTCGGCGTTCAAGTTTGTCCAAGGTCTTGGTTTCGTATAGTAGACTTGCTTCTTTAACCAATTCCATAGTAAAAAAGTCACAGGGTATTAAGTCAGGACTTCTGGCTGGTCACTCATACATAAAATAGGGATTTTCAATCACCTCTCTCTCTCTCTCTCTCTCTCTCTCTATATATATATATATATATATATATATATATATATATATATATATATATATACAAGAAAATGGGAAAATGATATATATTTTTAAATATAAAATAACAATTCTACGGGAAAGAAGTATGGCAAAAATGTAAAAACTTTCTTTTTTTTTTAATTAAAATTTTCAGCGTCTCTCTTTTCTTCGCAGACATGTGTAGTCGCATCAAAATAAAGATAAATTTAATTCGATGAAGTCCGAAATGGCAAAAGACCTCATAAAACCTTTCTCCACTTTGTCATGCTTCTTTCCGTTTATATATATATATATATATATATATATATATATATATATATATATATATATATATATATATATATGGAGGAGCCGCTCTTGTCGCCGGCGACAAATGAGGGTTCAGTAAAAGAAAGACGTGCACAACTTTCATGGACATGTGCCTGCCTAGGCCTGCATGTGTTTTGCAAACTTTTAGACAAATGGAGCATGTGGTTGAGCCATTTTGCCAGAGTAGTTGAGGATCAGTTACCATATGTTTTCGTGAGTGGAGAGCAAAGTCTGCTTTACTGTGTGCGACAAAGCCACAGTGGCAGGTAAGGATATCATTGAACAGAGGAACATCATGCTGCCAACTTGGTTTACTATTTGCACACAGTTGATCCCGATATTTAAGTAGGTCTCGCTCAAACCATTTTTATAGATGAGAAACAGGACAGGCGCCAGATCCTTTGCGCTGATGCTTTGTTTTCCCTGGAAGAAAAGAGGATGATGCATCGCTTCAGATTGTCTTTGAGTTTGTTTTTGTACCACGAGAGTGGGTCTTTCAATCGACTTGCTTGTTAGAAGTTGACCCAAGAGGAGTTGTTTTGGAAGTCTGCTATCATTTATACGAAAAATATGTCATGTCCACCTGAATTGAATTTTCATTATTATATAATATTATAAACGTTATATATAGATATAGAACCTTAGATATATATATAGAACCATAGACATATATAGAACCTTAATTTCCGTATATAATTTCTGTCTTGTGGTTAATAATAAATATTTAATAAATGTTTTTCATACTGATCACATTGGTTTGGTTTGGTTTATTTTGATTTACGGCATATCAACATCAATGGGTTATTTAATGCCGACAAGATTTTTAGGATAGATTCGCATGAATAGAATATGTATTCTTTGGTTTAGATTGGTTTGGTTTATTTTGTTTTACGGCATATCAACCTCAATGGGTTATTTAATGCTGATAACATTTTTTATTGCTGGTAACATTTTGTTTTGTCAAAAATCTGGTTTCTGGTAATACTTTTCCTTCAAAATTGTATTGCTGGTAATAATTAACTATTTGCCCATAGCTGGGACCCTAACAGATGCTACCACCTCGGGTCAGGGTGGACCTGGGAACACCAGCAATTAAGAGGTAATCCCACGCTCCTCAAAACCTCCTGATCAGAGGCTTTGCTGCTGGACGTAGTTTATCGTCTTGCCAATGACGCGGATGTAGTCCAACGTCTTACCCAGGACGAACTGATCACATTGGTACATTTTCGTTTGTCCTTGTTTTATTAACCAATCTATTTTACAAATATATATGTGTGCGTGTGTATCTGTGTGTTTTTATTTAAATTATAATCATATGTTTGTATTTCGATGTATGTAAGTGTATATAGTTTTTTTTTAATTAAATATATATAATCTCTATTTTATAATTATATATAAAATGATTGTAGTGCTAAGTTGCTGTGTTTTTTTTAAAAACGCCAACACGTTACTGGCGTTGTTAAAGAATGTATTATTATGGTTTGGCTTGAACTGTTTTGTATAAAGTGCTTTTATAATCTTTAGACGTCGTCAGCTATTATGTTTATTTAGAAAGGTGTTATTAAAAACAATTTTTCTAGTAATAGAAGACAGGGAATTGTTTGTGTGTTGCCATTTTATGTTTTAAGCACTGAAATAACTTAAGCTGTTTGTTGTGCTTTTACTGATAGCTGTCATAACAAATGTAGATAATTCGTATATGACAAGAAACGCAGTCTTGTACTAAGTAGCTGAAGTGATATACTATATTAGTCGTTTTTAGTTCAGATAAGTTACGACACAAGTTGTTAGCTGAGGTTGGCAGTTTTTTTTTATTTTCTATAGTGTATTGTGAGTTATAATGCAATTAACTAATATGCTCTCGAAATTATTCGATTGAGCTCTCGGAGAGAAAGGGGTGATTTTAAAAACAGTGGCTGCTTCTAATGCAAGGCTCTTCTACTCGAACCGAGCTCTCCTAGCTACTGACGTTTTTTTTTTGAATAGTAAAAACGTTAAAATTTCCCTTCGACTCTGCCGTGAGACAATAGCTAGTGGGTATAATCTCTGACTGATACCAAATCGGCCGGGTTTCGATCCCGTGTTGAAGCAGTCGGATGTTTAGTCACACTGATGAGCTGCGAAATAGTCTGTCAGTAGATGACTATATATGTATATATAAATAAAAAGAAAGAACAGTAAGATATATAATCCGGTGTTTTCTTTATTTTTACAAAACAATGCTCAATGTAAATTTACAGAGCCTAAATATTATAAACTAGCAGCATGGCCCGGCGTTGCCCGTGCTTGATTCAAAAATCGTACGACTCATACAGCAATCGCTATCACTTGACTTAAAATATTTTTGCCCTTCCTTGCCTTTAAAGGAGTGCCCTTTGCCCCGCTGATGTTGCTACATGCCTTACTTCTTGCCTATCTCACACTGCGAATTTTTTCTAAGCTCTATACTAAACATTGTATCTGTTACGAAAAAAGAACTAAACAAAATGAACACAAAACGATCAGCTTTAAAAAAGGACTCGTAACTGGAAAAATCGAATGAAAAAAGAATGTTAACAACAAATACTTTTTCACACCCAACCCACTTCTGCGGAATCAGAATCAACGTTGAGTTTAAGCAAGCGAATGAGCTAATTGGAGTAAAGTGCCATGCAGATTTAAATTTTTCCCACTTGTGACGAATGCAGCTATCGATTTTTTTTTGCATGCCAGCATGCTAGTTAACATTCGTGTCAGTCAGCTGTTGGCTCTCATGCTGGCCAATAGAATCTTCCTGCATATTCGTGGCAGCCAGCTATTGGCTCTCATTCTGGCCAGTAGAAAATGGCCGCAAACTACATGAAAACTGCTGTAGAAGAATGAAAAAATCGATTATTTCCACTAGATATCGTCTTACACACACTAGGAAATGCAAAGTCGGTCTTGGCCTTCCCACTAACTTGGAGCATGTGCATGTACATTTTGGTGCAAATCCGTCGAAAATTGCGGCAGTGCATTCGTTACGCACACACATCCTGCCTTTTATAGATAGAGATTAACTGATTTAAAATTTGGTTTTTTCGCCACACTGTAATAACCATGTTTCAAAAATGGAAGCTAAACACTTTAATTATATAATTAAATTAAAAACATTAGTTCCGTTTCATCTTCAAGCGAATATATATATATATATATATATATATATATATATATATATATATAGTTCCGTTTCATCTTCAAACGAATATATATGTATTTGTGTACTGGGGCAGCAGATCATTATTCAAACATATATTGTTAAATATAACAGAGAGGGCATGTCTATTATACGTGATCATGAGCCGTCATACACTTCGTATAGTTGCTTTAATTTCATGTGAGCCGAAAGCTTCGAT